TGTTGTTACTGCTGGCAGTGTGCTGCTCTTGGAGCTCCGACATCAGCGGCACTAGCAGACAGTGCAGCACGTTAATTCAGCAGACCTTGGCGTTATTCATAGGAAAAAACACAGGCTTGGTTCAGTGGCGAAGGCATTTGGCCGGGTTTATTGTCGACAAAGCACAGTACTAGCGCCTCATAGGAGCTACAGGTACACTAACACATGTATGCCCTTGACAAAGTACCTGCTGAGTCAGTACACCAGGAGCTTGTTCCCTAGGCGGAACAAAGATGCCCCTTCTAGGACTTCTCCTTCTATACACTGATACAAACAAGTTCCGTTTGACACTCCAGATGTTGTTAGTTACCACCCTTATCCATGCGCCTGTTAGTTCAAGCAAAACATCCTTATCCATTGTCCTATCATCCCATTCTTATCTTACGAGGGGTCAGTGAGTTCTTGCACCATCTCTTAAGAATGTGCTTACATAGTTACCTGAGAACGCTGGGTACGTGTTCCTGTACCATCCTCTCAGGTCAGGAAAGTGCTTACATGGGTAGCCAATACCTAGTGTATTATTTTGCCAAGGCCAGGCCTACTCTGATTCACAGCCTTTGGTTCACGCTGTCAATTATGCCTAGGGCTCCAGCAAGGCCTACAGATAGCACGAAACTGGGTGCAAGCACTCCCCGACTTCACCAAATAGCAGGCAGGCACCTAAAAACTGCTAGTAGATTGGAAGATTGAATCATAGGACTAGAAGGGACCTCAAGAGGTCATCATCTAGTCTAAGTCCTGCCTCAATGAAAGGGACAAGTATTATCTAGACCATCCCTGACAGGTGTTCATCATTGGAGATTTTTAAGAGCAGGTTATACAGAGATTCCACAACCTCCCTAAGCAATTTATTCCACTCCTTAACCACCCTGACAGAAAGTTTTTCCTAATGTCCAACCTAAACTGCCCTTGCTGCAATTTACGGCCATTACTTCTTTTCCTATCCTCAGAGGTTAAAGAGAACAATTTTTCTCCCTCTTTCTTGTAACAACCTGTACTTGAAAACTGTTAGCATGTCCCCAGACTAAACAAACCCATTATTTTCAATCTTCCCTCATAGGTCATGTTTTCTAGACCTTTATCATTTTCGTTGCTCTTCTCTGGACTGTCTCCAATCTGTCCACATCTTTCCTGAAACGTGGTGCCCAGAACTAGACGCAATACTCCAGCGGAGGTCTAATCAGCGCGTAGTAGAGTGGAAAAGTTACTTCTTGTGTCTTGCTGCCTTGGTCTGCAGGCGCCGCCCCCTGCAGCTCCCATTGGCCGCGGTTCCTGGCCAATGAGCTGGGAGCCACGGAGTCAGCGCTCTGGGATGGGGGACAGAGGCAGAGTGCCTGCAGAGCCGCCTGGCCGCGCCTCCACCAGCAGGGATCGGGAGGTGCTTACAAGGAGCTGCTGGAGGTGAGCACTCCCTGCCATCTGGCACCCCAAGCCCCTCCTGCGCCACAACCCCCTGCCCCAAGCCCCCCCCTGGACCCAAACGCCCTCCCAGAGCGCGCCCCGTAGCCCCTCCTATGCCTCAGCCCCCTGATGGCCCTGCACCAACTGCACTATAAACTGGACTTTCAGCTTTTACGGTACTTTGCATTTGTCCTTATTGAATTTCATCCTATTTTCTTCAGTTTGTCCAGATCATTTTGAATGATAACCCTATCCTCCAAAGCAACCCCTCCCAGATTGGTAGCGTCCACAAACTTTATACGTGTGCTCCCTACGCCAGGGCTTCTCAACCTTTTTCTTTCTGAGGCCCCACAAACAGGCTATAAAAATTCCATGGCCCACCTGTGCCACAATAACAGGTTTTCTGCATATAAAAGCCAGGGCCGGCGTTAAGGGGTAGCAAGCAGGGCAATTGCCCAAGGCCCCATGCCACAGGGGGCACCGTGAAGCTAAGTTGCTCAGACTTCTGCTTCAGCCCCACGTGGTGGGGCTCAGGGCCCCGGGCTTCAGCCCCATGCAGTGGGACTTCGGCTTTCTGCCCTGGGCCCCAGCAAGTCTAACACTGGTCCTGCTTGGTGGACCCCCTGAAGCCTGCTCGTGACCCCTGCTAAATCATCGATTTATCTAAATCATCGATGAAGATATTGAACAGAACCAAACCCAGAACTGGTTGACTGTGAACCACTGATAACTACTCTCTGGGAATGGTTTTGCCATAAGTTATGCACCCACCTTATAGTAGCTCCCTCTAGGTTGTATTTCTCTAGTTTGTTTATGTTTATTATCCCTACTTTGGATATCAGATACTGTTCCACACATATTGATGGGACTTCTATTGAGGTGGGGAGGGGGAAAGGAATAGCTCTTCCAGCTTCCTTATTGAAATCAATACCATATGAACACTTTATAGATCAAACACATTAAAACCACTGATGCCTCTATATCAACCCTCAGACGTGAAACTCGGAAAAAAGTACGGCAAACCATGCTCTGTTTGGAAATGAACGGCAAACATTCAAAAAAACATAGCTTTCTAAAGGACATACTACCATTCTCTATGCAGCTCTCAATAGCAGTAAAGTAACTATATTATTTATGCAGTCCTGTAGTGTACATGACATTTTATAGACATAAAAAACAAGGTCTCTCTCCCAAAAAAGTTTATAATCTAATTTACTGTCTTGACAGTATTATGATTATTTATCGTTTGTATTACCATAGGGCATAGGAGCCCTAGTCATTGACAAGGACCTCATTCTGCTAGGCACTGTACAAATGGAGAGTTTACCATCTAAGTACTTGTATGGTCCCCATGATCACAGCATACAGGTGCCTGTTTCTGCAGATAACTCAGCAAATAAAGACAGCTTCAACCTAGAGAGGGGGTATGTGATGTGACAAAACTAGGTAAAGAAGAGAAGAGCTTTCTTAGGGTTTACCAGAATTGCGAGGTGCCAAAAGTGATGATTTCTCGACAGACATCCTGCAAACTGTGCACACCACTAGGGAGAGAATTCTAAACTAAATCAATCATGTTAATTACTAATGAATTTATATCAGACTCTGCCCTCCGGTGAAAGGGATGTTGGCAAGCAGGTTACTGAGCCGTCTTCTGCAACAGATCCGAACATAGTGGCCACATATATAAAAATCCCTCAGCATACGCTATGGATGATAAACTATCTGTTCTCCAAAACCTACCAAGTCACCAGCAACAAGGAAATGCATCACCAAATGATGGCTCAAAGGAGAAAACCCTTCCATTAAGATGTGGTTAAGGTAAGCCTTGAAAAATTCTGCCTAAAGACAGTAAATCCTTTCCCCAACAGGTAAGTAAAAATATCGTTAGTCTTCTCAACATGTTCAGTCACCGTGGCACATATGTAGACCTAGTGATCCAAAACACTCCTACTGGGGGATTGGAGGGGCCGTGAGCACTATTCCAGTCTACAGGTTGTAACACAGGCTGAGCATGCATTACGTTACAATCTCACAATTAACTTTCACCCCTCCAGAGTTCCCAGGACATAGCCTGATTAACCCTGGCTGAGACACAGCTTCAATCATACTGAATCAGTAGCACTTAACAACTTACTAGAGTAAAACAATTACGCATCAAATACCCATCTGCCCAGATGTGGGGTTCTATACACATGTTCGACTTGTAGACTGGTCAGTAAATAACAGTGCATATACAATGCTACAAGTAACTTGCTCTTAATTTCATACAACAAATTAACACCCGAAATCTGTATAATATGTAATATATTTAATTATCTCTGAAGAGTCATTCTCTGTAGCACTCTCTCTCTTATACAACATGCAAAAACCCCAACCAAACCAAAGCTCGGATAGATTTATGAGCCAAGAACAAACATCATAGTATGGATGTGGTGGCAGGGTCCAGAGATGAGGACAAGTATTACGAGAGGAATGGAAATCCTCAATGCCACCACAATATCCACTTCAGTTTGAAACAGAAGACTTCTCAGTCACTCTTCAGCAATCTATCAGACTAATAAGGGACATATATATTCTCCTCTTGATACGCACATAATATTCCCAATGACATTATTACATCTTTTCTAAACCTATGTTTGAAAGAAATATGAGCGCGTGGTAATGCTGAGGATGAAGTCAGAAGATCGGAGCTCATTTCCCAGATCAGTCAGTCAGTGACTTCTAGATTAATAGATTTTTAATGCCAGAAAGGACCAGTGTGATCATCTAGGTCTGACTTCCTGCAGAATACAGACCACAGAATTTCACCCAGTGATTTCAGCCAGCCCAACAACTTGTGGCTGAACTAAAATATATATCTTTCACAGAAACACTGAGTCCTAAATTAAAGATGCCAAGTGATGGAGTTTACCATATCCCCGGATAGTCTGTTTCAATATTTAATTACCCTAATTGTTAAATACGTGCATCTCACTTCAGCTACCAGGCGCTGGTCTCAGTATACCTTTGCCTGATAGATTAAAGAGCCCTTTGGCGTAGGATCTCTTCCCTCTAGGTAGGTAGTGGGTAGACAATGATCAAACTGTTTCTTAATCATCTCTTAGATATGATAAACAGATTGAGCTGCTCAAGTGTCTCATTGTAACAAATGTTTTCCAGACCGTGAACCTATCCAATTTCTGAATATCCTTTTAAAAGTGTGCATACCAGAACTGGACACAGTATTCCAGCAATATTTTATCTAATATCATACAGATGTAAAAAGTATTGTGCAACCTTCGTTAATTACTTAAACTGTCTGTCTCCGTTTCCCCGTCTGTAAAATGGGGAACATTCACAGTATATCATATCAGTGCTAAGAAGTTTAATTCATTAATGTTTGAAAAAACAATTCAAGACCCGTGGATGGAAGGTAGTGCAAAGTATTATTATGTGCCCATGAGCAGAAGGGAATAAATTCTCATTTATAAAGTGCAATACATATTGTTTTGTACAGAAAAAAAAAATGTTTCTAGTTCTGAGCACCCCAGGAAGGGTTCCCAATAGTCTGATGTACTTACATGATACAGAGCCAGGACTGTTGATATTGAACCCCTGTGACGGTTGCTGTGACCCCCTGAATCGTATCGGATAGGAGGTGAACTAGAGAAAAAAAAAAAAAAAAAAGAGACACTTAGAAATTGTAACTCTGTAGAATTGCAGCTTCATCAAACCAGACTCATGCAGAGTTCTGATGGAAAACATTGTCAAAGCACTGGCATGAATACTGCACTTTGATTCACTTATCTGCTGATTGGATTGATGCACAGGAAAAAAGGATAAAAGATAGAAACACGCAACCTGATGTTTTCAAATACTGTCCTTAAAAGACATTTTACAGTCTTGAGTGGCAATGTTCTTCTCTTCGTTACAAAGCTGACAGAGTCAGGCTATAAGGCCTCTCTTATAGAAAAAAAATAAAATAAGGTTAGGCTGAATCCAATTATCAAAAGATGAAATCTTATCCTTTGGTTGGACTATTTTATTCCCATTGCTTGTTCTGTGGAACAATTTATAACTTTATGCTCAATTGCCATTGAAAAGAGGCAGAAAATCTGTATTGCATATAGCTATAAATATATGCGTATATGAACGAATGAAAGCTTAGCACAGAATAACCAAAGCAGGAACATATGTGCTACTCACTCAGGAGTCTTGTCAAATTTGTTAATTAAATTAAAGGTGGGACCCCTGTATTTTAAGTAACACACATTTGTATATTCACGTAAATATTTTATTCTCAATGAAGAGTTTCTAAAATGCATAAGGATGCTTGCAATCAATGCCTCTTCCTTCAGCTAGCGTTGCATGGGTAATGGACTGGAGGGCCGGGTGCTGGTGCCATGTACTGTCACATGGTTGAGTACGATTTGATCACTGGCTCCAGTGTCTTATGCTGTAGGCCAGCTGGTGTTGCTCCTACGGCATCTCACTGAATTTCTGGAGAAGAGGAACTGCCTCCTGTCACTTTCATTTGATTGTCAAGTCTCAGAGGGTTAGCCGTGTTAGTCTGTATCCACAAAAACAATGAGGAGTCCGGTGGCACCTTAAAGACTACCCGATTTGAGCATAAGCTTTCATGGGTAAAAAAACCCACTTCTTTAGATGCATGCGGTGAAAACTACAGATACAGGCATAAATATACTGGCACATGAAGAGAAGGGAGTTACCTTACTAGTGGAGAACCAGTGTTCACAGAGCCAATTCAATCAGGGTGGATGTGGTCCACTCCCAATAACTGATAAGGAGGTGTCAATACCAAGAGAGGGAAAATTGCTTTTGTAATAAGCCAACCACTCCCAGTCTCTATTCAAGCCCAAATTAATGGTGTTAAATTTGCAAATGAAGAGAAACTGCAGAGCTACATATGTTCCGGACTCCTCGTTGTTTTCATTTGACTGAGAAACAATGTTAAATGGCTCCAAAGGAAGTTCTGTCCAGGTCTCCTCAACTGGTTAGATATTTGCAACCATGCAGGATATCAGCAGAGCCACAGAGGAATTCACAAGCATGTGTCAAGTTGGGTGATTTTAGGCTTAGGGTACGTCTACACTACCTGCCGGATTGGCGGGTAGTGATCCATCTATCGGGGATTGATTTATCACATCTAGTGTAGACGCGATAAAATCGATCCCCAATCGCTCTGCCGTCGACTCCGGAACTCCACCGCGGTGAGAGGCGGAAGCGGAGTCGACGGGGGAGTGGCAGCGGTCAACTCGCCGTCGTCCTCACGGCCAGGTAAACCAACCTAAGATACACCGTAGCTGAAGTTGCGTATCTTAGGTCGACCCCCCCCCCCCGGTGTAGACCTAGCCTTAGAGAGATTCCCATGGCAGAGCTGAGTGTTTCTGGGAGCAAGCGGTCCCAGCCCCAAAGGGACTCTAACAAACACCACAAACAAGCTCTTACAGAAAGAGAAATATTCCAAACCAAAGGGTAATGAAATACAAAGAGGACTTCAATGCTGATGATGACTCATCCCTTCAGACTGAACCAATATGACTTAACCTAGACACAAAGTCAATATTCCAGTTTAAGTATAAAATGTATCTTTTAACAATTCAGACAGACACAACATGGGATAACTCAGCTACCACATTAATAAGTGACTCAGATTTAAATGTTACCAATGGCATGACACATAACGTATGAGCGTGTGGTCACGGGGAATGAGCAGTAAATATTGAGACTCATAAGCAATAATGAAAATGGTACAAAGCAATTTAGATGTTGTTCATAAGAGTCAAAACATGTAGCTCAGATAGAAACTCCACAGCTACAATAAATGAAGAGGTAGTTACCATTCCCTTCCCTGGGGGCTCCCGAATCGGTGAATAAAGTGCTCATTATTTTGTCAAAGTTGCAGCTTGGCTCTGTGTTGTCAGAATCTTCAGCGAAGTGTTTCAGCATCTCTCGAAGGACATCATCCAAGGAGGTTGCGGTCTCATCCAGTATGATGATAGCTCTGGCCAGGAACCCATCCAGGTCACGGTGGGCTCTGACTTCTTCCTCAAAATTCTTTAATTTCAGGTACTGTATTAGGGAAAGGTTCTCTCATTAGACGTTTCATACGAACACTATATGTACCAATGAACTACTAGAGTACCCTGACCGCCTGTATAGTTAGCCACAAATATGCAGTTCGTTCGGGCTGTAACACGGACACAAATCTGAAGATTTTGTGCTACACATCCCGCGGGACACTGGGAGTGCCGTAGACTCCCACTCACAGCCAAGAAAGTCAGAGAGATAGAGACTGAGAACACAACCAGGCTTGACCCCAGCAGAGCAGCAGCACTGTGATAACTCTATAGGTTATTTTTTGTTAGTTAAATAATTCAGTTATCATTGAACTAAGGATCTGCAGTTCCAGCTCATGTCACTGGAAATTGTGGGTGCTTGGGTACTGTTAAAAGAACAAACACACACAAAAATCAAATTGATACTTCAATACATTTACGATTCTATAGGTGCTTCAGGCAAAGTTATGGCAAAAGGACATATATAAAAATAAAAATTGTAAATACTGGTACTAAATGAATGGTTATGGTTCCTAAGTCCCATTTTCTAGAGTGAGTTAGGCCTATAGGAGTCTAAATCTGATCGTAAATCGATCAGATGTAGGCTCCTAAGTCACCTTTGAAAATGTGACTTAAGCACTTTCAAAAATGTTATCCTATATCTTTATTGTTGGGGTGCACATTTGTCTCATACATGACAAATGCAACCTCTTTCCCTTTTCCATTTATAGCCTAATCAAAGTGTAACTAACATTTTACTAATGACTTTAATGATCAAGTTGTCAGTACAAGCAACACATCCATTGCCATGAACACTGTTTTACTTTGCATCAATCAATTTCTTACATAGAATAATTTAGACCAGGGGTCAGCAACCTTTCAGAAGTGGTGTGCCGAGTCTTTGTTTATTCACTCTAATTTAAGGTTTTGCGTGCCAGTAATACATTTTAACATTTTTAGAAGGTCTCTTTCTATATGTCTATAATATATAACTAAACTATTGTTGTATGTAAAGTAAATAAGGTTTTTAAAATTTTTAAGAAGCTTCATTTAAAATTAAATTAAAATGCAGAGCCCCCCGGACCAGTGGCCAGGACCCAGGCAGTGAGAATGCCACTGAAAATCAGCTCGCTACCCCTGATTTAGACAGAGAAGGATTATTTTAAGGAACTAGGCTTCCCTCTTCTCAAAGCCTTTGTTGCCATATGTTCATTAAAAGGGAGATTGAACTACTACTTAATCTTTCTATTACTACTTTTATTGTGGTAACCCCAGGAAGTCCAACTGAGCCCTATTGTACTAGGCACTGTACAGACGAGTAACAAAAGAGCCAGTGCCTGCCCCAGAGTACATCTATCTATCAGACAACCCAGATAAACAGCATAGGATAAGACAACAGCAAAACAAACAGTTAAGCAGAAGTCTCCATTTGCCCCTCACCTAATCAAAGCCAGACAGGCATGAAGCAGGCACCGCGGCAGAGGTGAGGTTTAAGGAGCTATTGTAAATAAGGTAACAGAGTGGCTTTGCAGATTTTAACAGGGTCCTTCTCCCATGCATAAGGGGCAGTGGGAGAACCACAAAGGTGTTTGAGAGAAAACGGGACTGAACAGCAGTAACTGTTGGCAGAGCAGCATTAAGCGCTTTGAACATGCCCATCGCCCCTCTGATTCACCTCACAACATACTGCTTCTCTGGGCGTCTTTTACAGAGATATACAGCACCCTGTTGAAACCTACGCGCTAGGATCCCCAACCTTCACTCATTGAAGCGAATGGCACGTAGCATCCTCAGCAGTGTATTTCAAACCAAAGGGTAAAGAAATACAGAGAGCACTCCAATGCAGATGGCTCATCCCTTTCGGGCTGTACCAAGAGGAATCTCCTCAGTGACACACAGTTTAAGTCACAATTCCAGACAGGAAGGATGGTCTAGGTCAGTGGCTCTCGACTTTTCCAGACTATTGTACCCCTTTCAGGAGTCTGATTTGTCTTGCGTACCCCCAAGTTGCACCTCACTTAAGAACTACTGGCTTACGAAATCAGACATAAAAATACAAAAAAGTGTCACAGCACACTAGTACTGAAAAATGGCTGACTTTCTCATTTTTACCAGATAGTTATAAAATAAATCAATTGGAATATAAATATTGTAACTATATTTCAGTGTATAGTATATAAAGCAGTACAGACAAGTTAGTGCTTTTTCTGTAGCCTGTTGTAAAACTAGGCAAATATGTAGATGAGTTGATGTACCCACCGGAAGACCTCTGCGTACCCCCAGGGGTAGGTGTACCCCAGACTGAGAACCACGGGTTTAGCGATTAGAGCACTAGCCTAGGAGTTGGCAGACCAGGGTTCAAATCCCTGCTCTGCCAGACTTCCTGAGTGACCATGAGCAAGTCACTTGGGGAAATGAGGCACAGAAAGACATGCTAAAAATGCTAAAGATTGTGACGTGCTCAGAAGCTACAGTCATGTGGGCCAGAGAAGTACCGTAAGACAGTATTAGGTAACTACCAAAAATTACTTACATTTTAGGTTAATGTAACTATGGCACTCATGCCGAACTAATCCCCCAGCTAGGTCGACAGAAGAACGCTACCCCTTCCATTGGCGTAGGCTGGGTCTGCACTATAGGGTTATGCCAACATAGCTACAGCACCATAGCTATGCTGCTACAGACCCCGCAAGGCAGCCAGGGCCTTAGTTGGAAATGCTGGGGGCTTAGCTCAAACTAGGGGCTTGTCTACACTACCACGCGGGGTCGATCTAAGATACGCAACTTCAGCTACGTGAATAGCGTAGCTGAAGTCGATGTAGTTAGATCTACTTGCCACGGTGTCTTCACTGGAGTAAGTCAACAGCTGACCCTCTCCCATTGACTCTGCTTGCGCTGCTCCCGGAGTCGACGGGAGAGCGCTCAGCAGTCGCTTTATCGCATCTATACTAGACGCGATAAATTGACCCCCGCTGGATCGATCGCTGCCTGCCGATCCAGTGGGTAGCATAGACAAGCCCTAAATCTGCTCTATGAAGAGAAAATTCACTTGTTTAAGCACAAAATATTTGTGAAAGAGTGGTCATTAATCTTGTCTTAAACAACGTGTAAGTCACAATGGGATGCTTTATGCTGGAATCGTCCTAATGAAAACTGAAAAAGACTTATAACAATACAGTTGTTATAAGAGGAAGAAAAAAATTCTTTATACTCCTAAAGTGCAATTGCAACATTGCAAACCAAAGTTGTCTTCATTGTAAGAGGGAAACAAAGAGTCTTTTCATTCAAGAACATAATTAACATTGCTTTCCCCCTTTCACAAGTGATATCCATGGCTCCACAGCCAACAACAATAAATGTGAGTTATCAACAAGGCCCAAAAGGAGTTTTATCTGTTGGGCTACTGCTGCTTTGGTGATTACATCTGCTCACAAATGCTGCAAGAAAGTTTCAAAAATGTGTTCCAAAAATTTATTCTCATGAGCATTATTTCCTAGTTTTCCCATTGTCGAGGTTGCTTGAGGCAATTCACTCAATTGGTTGGGGCTCTCATAAGCAGGTTCAAATCCTGCCAACAATCATAGAATCAAACAATATGTTTGGCTTCTTTGAGTCTCATACTTACAGGGCATAAGCTGATCAACAGCTGGAGGCAAGAAATATTTCCTCTCTGTAGATGGTATAGGACTACACGAATAGCTGCACTATAGGAATTTATGTACTCCTCTCATGTATCTGCCATGAGCCACTGTCCAAGACTGGATACTAAAATATGTCTCAATAGAGAAAAAAGAAAAGGCATTGGTCCATTCCAGAGAACTGGCTGAATTGAAAACTCTTCAATAGCAAGATTACAAGTATCCAGTCTAAAGCTGTAACTTGTTCAACTGGAAAGCAGGCATTAAGAATTTAATTCTCCTTTAAAAATCACTGCAATATACTCGCAGATTTGAATGACAGACAACAGCTTGCAGTGATCAATGCTCTGCAACTTGGACCAGAGAGAGATTTAAAAATAGAAAAAAAAAATGGAAAAACAGATCAGTTCTTTCTTGACATACCTGCTGAGATTTCTGCATTCTGATTTTCCCTGACAGTAGTTGATGGCAAAACACCTACAAGAGCATACGGAAATGTTGCTCCACTGTAGCTATCTGTGATGCCATCCTTGTCACAGGGGAGATCAGAATCTGCCTGTGCATTCTAGCAGATACGACGCTTTGGAATTTACCTCAGTGAAAAGTGACCAGTCTTTAAACGAACTGGTCTCTCCAATTCTATTGAGAGTCACCACACACTCTACTCGTGCATCGCTCAGTCACCAAGAGTCGCAGCGGGGGCGCCACATGCCCCCAGTCAAAATGGTCACAACATATCATGTTCCTCTGTTGGTCTCCCAATCCCCCTCTCCCACTGCACTGCTACCCCTCCATCCACTGCCTTCTGAACTATACAGTCGCCCCCATCGGGCGTTCTCTCGTCTTTGGGCAATACCAAGAGAAGGGGGGCTCGAGCTGCAGAGAAGGAGGAGACTTGAGTAGAGTACGGAAGAGGCACTCACATCACTGCTGTCAAGAAGAAATTAAGTCAACTCTGCCTGCTCCTGATTGGTGGGGAAGGAGGCACACATTCAGCCAGCATGGCAGATGGCTGGCTGGGGAAGGGTGCCCTGAAGTACAGCAGTGTCTTTCTGAAAACAAGAGGGTGACAGCTCTGAACGTGTTAGATCTGGGGACTTCGGGGCTGCAGATGAGGGTTAGTGTGGGAGAATGGCAGAAAAGCAACTCCTTACCCCTACCCTGAGCAACCCAAATAACATGGTGGCCCATGACTTGCAAGATGCTTTGAGTGCCGACTACTCTGGCATTCACAGTGAAGGATTCACCAGAAAGGAGCAAATTCCAAACAAAAGTGAGAATCCAGTTTAAAAAAAAGAGGGGCGGGGGGAGAAATACATCCATTCTCTCTAGGTCAGTGGTTCTCAACCTGCGGGCCCAATCAGCACACAGCTGCAGCCCATGTGACATCCTCAGGGCCATACATGATGTGTATATATTGTGTGGATGCGCCCTCTCCCCCCCTAAAGCATAGAGAGCTGCATATGCAGCCCACAGTGATAAACAGGTTGAGAATCACTGGTCTGGGTGCATCTATGTCTCTTGCACCTGCACATCTGAGCACAACATCATAAGGCCTCTGAACCAGTCCTCCTCTGAACCAGTCCTCCTCTGGGGTCAAGCAAATTGGCTACAGAATCCTTAGCTAATCCTGGTCAAAGCAGATATGACAGATTGAAGAATAAATAATAGTAATTATGCCCTAAAATCCTTTTAGTGCTACCTGTATACAAATAGGTGAGATACATCTTTCAATTTAAAAAGCAAACAGACAAACTGTTACCTATTCACTACTGCCTTCCTTTTGTTTCTTCTTTCTAAAAATGAACTCTCTTTTGTGGTTAGAATTTGGGTTTTAAAGAGACTATTTGTTTTATTCTGTTTAGCACCCAAAACGTTTTAGGGTTTTGTTTTGTTTTTTGTGGAGAGGGGAAATCTTAAACTATTTAAACCAATTTCCAAACATGTGTGCCTGAAGTTAGGCATCTAAATACCCATTTTAGGTATATAAATGCTAAATTAGAGTGCCTAAACATGGATATGGTTTCAGGCACCTAAAACAGGCACTTAAGTGTCTAAATACAGATTTCTGCACATAAAGAATCCAAGCTTCAAAATCTGGCCCAAAATTATAATAGTTTTAATAATTATATTTATGTAACCCACTGGGTTTTGAAGGGCTAGCGAGTCTTACTTCGGAGCTCATGGGCGGGTGGGAAATTGGGAAATGAGTCAAGAAGATTTAGAAAGGGAACACCACGCATTTAAAACGGTCTCTCTCTCAGTTTCCAGTTCCCACAGGATTGCCAAGATTCTAGATTGTAAGTGACATTGGGTAAGTTTCCATTTCCTTTGCAACACGCTTTCTGGTTGATTTACCTATTTATTAAATTGTTTGAAGTAATGCGGTTTCTATATGAATTTTTTCATTTCTCTGTTAGCACTAACATGTTATGGCCGCATAACTAAGTGCAAAATCGACAATAATCCTCTTTGGCTACACTGCTTCAAGAGTTCACTCCTGCTGAACCTCCTGAAGGCAGATCTGATTAGCTGGGATAAACAGGAAACTGAATCACACAGTTACAATGTCTATTGGGTGCTTTTGTTTTTAAGTTTGAGGAAAGCTAAGGAGACTGTATTGCTGTGTGTAAGCTTGGACCACCTTTCAGGCAGTTTCATGAGAGCAAGCGATGAAGTAATATGGCCCAATAATAAGGATATTAGATTTTGATGGCAAAATAAATTGTGTTTGGAAAAGGAGGGCAGTACATGGCTTTTTGGATGTAAATAGAAACAAAGGTATTCTGAGAGAGCAAGGCATTGAAACGTCTTCTGATTAGGCCAGAAATGATCAACTTTACTTTTTCCATTAACATATTATGATTTACAGGAGCGAGTTAAAAAGAATTAACCAGTTGAACAAAACTGCTACTTACCTTTCTAGATGTATGTAATAAAACACAGCCAGCACTTTCACTTTCTACTGGAAAAGAATTTGAGAAGAATTTTACAATCGTAGGTATCTGACAGGCAACAGGCATCAAATGAAGGCTTTGCAAATATTCTACAATACAATGCAAGGTGAAAGTTTATCATTCTACTGACAAATGAAGCTTTTTGGTCTGACATTGGCAACATTTAATAATCTTTCCAGACAAATTTGTGACTGCAGCAACAAAAGAGCTATTCAGTGTGCAGAAATTTTCTTCAATATTGAAATCAACACAAAAAAATGGAAATAAGTCAGCAAAATGCTTCAAGCTTCTGCAAAAATATGATTTTTTCCATTAGTGACAAGATTATTTTCATCTAATCCCCAATCCAGTAGGTAAAATATATAATTGTATCCTACACATCTGTCTCTCATTCAGGTTTACTGACAAAATGTTTCAAAGGATCAAGAGTATTTCCTCATTTAGAGTCCAACCATGCATTCACAGTAATTAATGCAAAAAACTCCTATTGACTTCAGTGGAGCAGTTGTGACAGACTGTGATATGACGACGTGGAGAGGATGGGAAAACATCACCACCACCTACTTATAAATGATCGAACTCTATGGCGTTACCTTGACAAGACCAAGAACTGCAAACTATTTTTGGAGTTTTTGTAGATTTATTTTGTGAGTAATATTACACGCCTTAGATTGAAAACTTATGAAGACCTAAAAAAGGCACCGAGAAAGTCATTTGAATGTGATTCTGTATTCTAAATTCTTACCTCTGTTTGCTAGCCACACAATATATAGTAAAGCGATTTTTAATTTGTTACCTAAATTATGGAGAACTGAATAGCAAAGCATAGGAAACTCCTACTCCCAATCCTCTCCAAACAGCAAAATAAATTCATAATCAATTAAGAAAATTTTGCATATCTATAGCTGTTGGTATGAAGTAGGAAACACTCTAGGAAATACTTTCTGCCTCCGTACATTTGTACTGTAATATTAAAAAAAAAGAGTGTTTACCTCTGGTGTATCAAGTAATAAGTAATTTCCCACGTATGTTAACCAAAAAGACAGTTGAATGGCCAGTAGATAAAACGTCTGCCCTATATTTCAGAGGTCTGAATTCATATCTGTTGGGATTGCACTTCTGTTAAAAATTCACAGTACCAAAAGCACCACTGTATTTTCAGTACTTTATTGTTTTAGGACACAAAAATACAGTGAAAATGCATAAACAACTCTTCCACAATGCCACTGAGTTTAATGGAAATACGGAACCCATCTTTGTTGAAGAAGTAAAAAGTGCAAGAGAACTTCTGTATGTGGAGCCGTGACTGGGTAGAGTAAATCAGGGCTATTAAAAGCTACTAATCTTTTCTAAATTGGCTTTTTTAAAACCACATCTTTAAATGGCTGAACTGCTTCTATTATCTTATTTTTATATGCAAAAATATTTTTGATCCACGCCCCCTCTCGTTTACAAGTACCACATGGGCCACATCCTCAACTGGTGCTCTGCTTAACTCCGTTATCTTCAGTGGAAATAAAGCTGATTGATACCAGCAGAAGATGGGGTCCACCAGACATACAGGCTGTGTCTTCACTGCAGAGTTAACTTGAGTTAAGCACTACTCTAGAGCAGTGGTTCTCAAACTTTTGTACTGGTGACCCCTTTCACATAGCAAGTCTCTGAGTGCGACCTCCCCCCACCCATATAAATTAAAAACACTTTTTTATATATTTAACACCATTATAAATGTGAGAGGCAAAGCAGGGTTTGGGATGGAGGCTGACAGCTCGCGACCCTCCATGTAATAACCTCGTGTCCCCCGGAAGGGTCCCAACCCCCAGTTTGAGAACCCCTGCTCTAGAGAGAGCTGCCACTCTGTAGAACACTGGAGCTGCAGAAAGCGAATGGCTCGGTGCACAGAATAATTTTATTAGCAGCTGACAAGTTGTGCACAATTGAGCACATATATCCCCCTCAAGTTAAAAAGCACTACCACGCTTGAGTTAAGAGTTTAGCGTGTGTGGATGGACCTCAAGTTGGGGCAACACATGAGTTACAACTCAAGTTAACTCTACAGGGAAGACAAGCCCGCACATGCACCCCTTTAAGCACAGTGAAATATTATAAGGCAGTTCAGATGTAATAACTATTTGCCATAGAGAATCTCAGAGTGCAGAGGCTACACCCATTTCTTTCATCAATTAAAGTGCAATTAACTTTGAAGTATTATAGATTATGCAAGTCTCCATATGAAAGTTATGATCGTTAAAATATCTTTGCCAGGAATATTTGATTTATAAGTCATCTTTACTTGAAAATGGTATTTAGTATAAAAATGTAAGCCTCCAGTGACCAGAAACAATGAGCATTTTCCCTAGACTTTTATAGTTGCTCTTCATTATTCCCAAATGTTTTCCCTTTACAATAGCCTCCATTTACAGTCTAATTACACAGGCAGAAGTGTGCTAGAGAGACTGAGAATCAGTAAAAATAGAGAGGAATACAAAAGCATGCAATCGGTGGCTCGAGGAAAAAAAAAAAAAACCCACCACCACCACCACTCAAAGAAATGAAATGAGACTCAAAATAAAATATATCTGTGCGTGTTTGATTAGCTGCAGTCTGTCCTTTGCTCCATCCTTACAGATATGCATGAATCTAATATAACCGAAATTACCCTTCATCACTTCATGACCCTCTCTGTTCAGCTCATCTACTAACTCAGCAGTAAACCAGTCCAATTACCATCAGCGATTCTCTCAAGTAATCTTCTTGAATGAACTTTTTTGCTTCATCATCAAAAGCAAGCAAACGCATCTCTGATTACATCTTCTGGACCAGGGCCATTTAAACTTCTCATCAAATATCCTAAGGAATGTATGGAAGTTTTATAAGGCCTGGAGCCTCATTCAGCACAGTATCCAAGAACACAGCTTGGATGCTTTCCCAGGAAAGGAAGCATATCATGCAAGTCTTCCTTGTTAATAACACTGTCCCATTCTGATCTAGCGGAATTCTTGAATCTGAAACTGAATGAACATAGCTAACACACTGGGGCATGTGTGTTGCAGGAGCTTCTTAGTGGCCTTTGTCTTTGTGTGTTTTCTTGGATTACTGGATCTTGGTACTTAGATACCCCAGTGATGGGTACCTAGGTAAACAGACTGAGCTAACATAGCATAAATTAGAGCTAGACAGAATGCATCAAACACGGATCTAATCTGAACAGCTGGAAGCAGTTACATAAAATCATTTAATTTAAAAAAAGAGGGTGCGGGGAGAATAGATATTTTTAAAAATATCTAAGAATGAAAAAACATATCACGGTCATTTTGTATTTTCAATTCTATTCTTCATGCTCCTCCTTGCTGAAAATAAAATTTTAAAAATCCCAACCAAGAATGAGGTTTGAAAATCTATTACAAAAATATAATAAATATAGTACTTTCATTACCTCTACATATCTCTGCATGTAGCAAACAGAAACCAATAATAGGGCAAGGATTCTAACCTTGCATTTGTTAGACTGTACTCCAGTTGGTCTGGAGATTTTTTTTGAAAATTGATCAATAAAAAAATCAGCGAATAAACCCCAGATGTACATCAGAACCTGTGCTTAGGTATCACACATTATGATTTGTATGATACACACACACGTCTACCGGTTTGCTCAGATGAGCTGTGAGAAATTCATCAGGAGTTTAAAATACTTGTACAGTGACCATGACAAATTGCACTATGTTGAATTCACACTTGTGGTTTTGCATATGGGCATTCAGAACTCCTAGCAGTGCACCATTGTTTTTCTCTGTTTTATTATAGTATTATCTAGTACCTAGGACAAAGTCTCCTTCCAACCATCTGCAGTGGCAAGCAGACTTTAATAGGACAGGTTAGCTTCTACAGCTTAACAAGGATGGGTCTGACATGACAAAGATTCATAAATAGGATGATTGGATGTTTATTATGACATTTACTCTATGCACCTTAGGGCAAAGTTTTCTCTGAGACAGCCTTTGCATAATCTGCTAACTTCCCATGATTGGGACAACCTGGAAATGCAAAAGAAAGTTCAGATTTCGTTTTTAAAGAGGAACTGCCAGAATTTTTCTATGCAAAGGCAGCCTTGAAAACAAACTCATTTAAACTGAATGGTAGGGTTGAAAGCTTGCTGCTTGCTTGTCACCCACTTTCTCTAAAGCAATTGGTTTACTCAAAATTTCCTTTCCCCTCCTAGGCCCCCAGGACTGGCCTTTGGGGTCTGCAAAAATCACAACCACACGTTTTTGAGATGTCTCCACATTACGGGACAGTGCACAAGTTGTATGTAGACCCACCCTTAGATTTAAAATCTCTGGGGCAGGGACTGGCTTTTTAGTACAGCAGTCACAGCAGAAGGGTCCAGAACCCAGTAGATTCCTCCAAGTGCTAGCATAATAAAATAAGTCAACTCCAGCGAATAAAACTGAGCAAAATAAGAACAATTTCATTATTTTCTAGTTAAAAGTCTTACTTTCAGGTTTTGAGGTGATAGTGTTTGGGCACTTAGACAAAAGCTAATAATTCTGTATCAGAGCTGGTGATTTTCCCCCAAGGACTCAAACAAATTAAAACACATTTCTAACAGCATTGGCATGCACCCTGGACTGCAGCACCAACGACCATCCCGCCATTTTGTTTTCTTCAGGATCTATGTAATTTGTAGGCCACGCTTTTGACACAGAACGCAGTGGGGGCACTGTGAGCGGTGACAGGAACTCAACTCACGCCACTGTTCTTGAGAGGGGCGCTCCAGTGGCAGGAGCTCAAACGGCTCTTCTGCTTTGCTGGTTGCCCTGAGAATTCACTCAGTGACTTCGTTGAGGGCCTTTCATTTCAAGCTGGTCAACAGCCAGCATTAAAAACCTGAACCTCGGTCTTCCTGATTTCTAGCAGTGCGCTATCAGCAGCAAACGGACAAGGGATAAAGGCACTCAGCTTCACATGAACTTCTCCCTCCCACCCCCAATGTAACTCTAATTTTGAC